GACAAGGGGGTCCCCAACCTTACACATTCATTTGCCCTGGTAGTTGAAAGTTCATTTCCCCAATTAGGAGTTTTGCCTGTAAGATACAGAGGCCCTGTGACAGACAGCTTACTGGCCCACAGACCCTAGGAGTTCCGATTAGTTGTGATGTAAATCTTAGAGGCAGGGGGGTGGAGTGGGGTTGGGGGGTGGGGAGGGGTTGTGGGTTTTTTTTTCCCCACACTCCAGAGTAGCTTTTTGGGAATTGCAGGCCTGTGGGGAAAGAGGGAGTTAGTAGGGAGAGAAAATGGGAGCCGAGCTTTGACCTGCCAGAGAGGAGCCCCTGCTGACACGGTCAGTCTGACCCATTGAATGTCCTGAATACGATAAATGCCGCTTTATCCTGCCTTGAAAGGCAAGAGATAGCACAGTCTAAATGCCCGGGCATGCTTAAATAGGCGACTCAGGGTGTTTGAGTTGAGTGTGTTTGAAATCTGAGCCCTCTGACAGCCTGGGAGCTGCCACAGGTCACCTGCCTTGCTCCGTGGGGACAAGCCCAGGTCTCACAAGAAATTGTCCATAGACGAATTGTAGTACAAATTCCTTTCTTTGTTGGTTGGCCTCTTTCACTAGACCATGGCCTATAAAATTTTGTAAAAACAATTCTTAAATATTATTTGAAAGGGCAAATGGCCCACACTGAAAGGTTTGACAGTTTGACATACAGTGCGTGGTTTTGATAGCTCGGAAACTGAAAAGTGTGGCCAAGATTCTCCTCTGGCTTGCTAGAAGCCTGGTGTTTGTCTTTCTTCTCTCTCTCTCTCTCTTTCTTTCTTTCCTTCCTTCCTTCTTTTCTAAATAATTTCCTTCCTTCCTTCCTTCCTTCCTTCCTTCCTTCCTTCCTTCCTTCCTTCCTTCCTTCCTTCCTTCCTTCCTTCCTTCCCTCCTTCCTTCCTTCCTTCTTTTCTAAATAACATTTTGTTGCTGTACAGAGTTCCTTTTGCGCCTTGAAATCTAACAGGCAATGAATCTGCTTCAGTGATCTTAAATCCTTTTCGACTAATTTGTGAGGGAGCAGAGAAAGAGCCAGCACATCCACAAGTACAGAACCGGGTATGGCCAATTAGCAGCTATTTGGGCTCATCATAGTAAAGCAGGTCGATCTAGATAGAGACTTCTGACAGTACTGGATCCTATACCAGAGTTGGGGGGGGGGGGGAAGGAAAGAGAGAGAGAGAGAGAGAGAGAGAGAGAGAGAGATTGAGAGAGAGAGAGAGAGAGAGGAGCCTAGAGAGTCACATCAGTCAGTTGAAGGAGGGATTTGAGTTAGCTGGGTCTCATCAGAACCCAGGAAGTTGCAGGGAGTGGATTTCTGCATCCCTCTGTTCCCTATGTGGAGCCTTGAGCACAGGGTACCCACCCAACACTCCCTCCACATTGCCAAAGGCCATTTCCAGGAGCCTCTGGCCCCTCAGTCACTGGCCTACTAGTTAATTGCCACACGGTCTTCATGACACATGGGCAGATGATATGACATTTTCGGTTTCTGTCACTAGCAAACGCCACAACGTTGCTTGCACTAGTTGCTAAGAAGCTGTCAGAAACCATTAGCAGTTGGCTAAAGTCGCCCTATGGCATTTCCTCATAGCATCAGCAAAACGAGCATAAATCACCCACTGGAGCCTACTGCTATCCTAATGAGGCTGTAAGCTTGTTTATGGACTAGCATCATTTTTATGATTATTTCCACCTTTTCAGTTTGCCTTCATTTGGCGGCAGGAGAAGTCAGCTCCAGGAATGAAGTCACTGCTGACATTTTACAAATGTGCTTCAGAGCGGCTGCCTGCTGCCGTGTGGTTGGCCGGCGGTCCACCAAGTTTGTGTAGTGATCTTAAAAAAAAAAAAGAAGAAGAAATTTTTTAAAAAATTAAGAAAGGAAATAAATCCTCTGGAGACCGCATAGAGAGGTGACTGTATCAAATTGCAGAGTGAATGGAAATGTTAAAGGTACAATTGACCATTTAGTCTCTCCTCTAAGGTCCAGACGTTCTGAGATCAATTTTCAATTTTCGAAAGTGGAAGAGGTTAAACAATTTATTAAAATCTATGAAAGTGTTTGCTTTTAGAATCGTCTGTTTTATTATGCTCTTCTCCTTCTCCATCTTCTCCATTTCCCTCACTGTGTCGGGAAGGCGCAGGGTTTATTGTTTTAGTCTTCTCTGAACATGCACCAGTATTTACACTGGATTGAAAGCATTTGCTTCCAATGAAAATCTTGTCTTAGATTACAACCCAGCAGTGTCATTTCCCTCCCAGATGGGAGTAAAGTAGCTGTATTTGCCTAAAAACAGTAGGAAGAACAAACTGTGCATTAAGCCAAGGCTGTTTTTGGCTTGAGCTAATGATGTAATGGAAACCTTTTATTCGGAAGAGGTCACTGCCAGGGACCGAAGGGGGTGATCTGGCTCCTGCTTGAAGGGTTTCTCCATTGTATCTACATAAGTCTTCACTTAAAAAATTCTGTTCCTAATGCTTCTGCTTTCATACAGCAGAAATAAACAGGAAAGGTTCTGGTGAGTGTTACACATGGAATGCAGAAAGCCTTCCTCTCCTAATGGAGTATATAATTCAGGTGCCCTCAAGGCAGGCTTTCAGGAATTCTTTTGCCTGAGGTAATGGGAAGCTAAGGCTGCTTTAAGGCCTTGATTATCTATTGATGCACAAAGCTGGAAAAAAAAGTCATCTCCACTGGATTATAGTAGATATTTCCATAAATTATCAATGAATTCTCTTCTAGGCTGGCACTAGGCATTGCTTGCTAAATTAATCTGAAGGGGTTTGAGATGGATAAAAAGGCTATTTTTATTTTATTTTATTTTTTAAGGTGGAAAACAATCCTGGAAGTAGGGGGGGCAGTATTGTTAGGTTTGAGGTTTTTCATTTTTAATCAATGATCCAGTAATATGTTTCTTTCCTTTATCTTGTGCATATTGAGAGTGGCTTGGCCCATTGCAATTTTAAATGCAGTAGAGTTATTTTCTTTTCTCATGTTTCTTTAATGAATTGTTATTTTATATGGTGAATTGCTTCTCTGTATAAAAAGCCTCTTTAAGTACTGGACTTTCAAAGAATTTATTAGGCAAATCCAAAGAGACTTCTCATAAAGCACTCGGTTATACAAATAAAGACTTGGGTAGGGTGATAGACAATTGATTTGGGGAAGTAGGTATTAGAGCTCAACCCCTCCTTGTCCAGTCACATGACCTTAAGCCAGTCAGGAAACACTGGACTTGATGTATAATGGCTTTGAAGTTGGGTTGTAGGGGGTGTCTTTGTAACCTCTTTCTGTGAGAACCCAAGCTATGATTCTGGGGGGAACTTTCTCAACATATATAGATTTTTTTTTAAAAAATGAACTTATGGATTTTAAATGAATAAATTTTAATCTCAGAGAAGTTCTGCACAAGTTTTGCATCCATGTCCTTACTGTAACAGTTAATAATAATGTTGAAATTAGTCTATTCCTCAAGCTGCAAAGTTTTTTAACTTTAGCTCGGTCCAACTGAGTCAAAAGCAGTGTAAGAACATATTGAAGGGTTCACTTTTCTTATTTTTGGAGGGCATGGTGTGGCTGCTGCAGGAGCTGCTAAGAACAATAGCTACTCTAGGTTAGACTGGAATACTGGGATCAAAATGGAAATTCTTTCATATGTAGGACCTTAGGGGTAGGGATGAAAAATAGAGAAGTTTATGAAGCCGTGCAAATGAGTCTGAGGTTAGTTCCAATGTGTAGTTGCCAGAAAACGTCTTACCAAAGTTTTTGGCTCCTTAGGGCATGTAGACTGTTCTCCAATGGAGTGTTTAGCCATCGGAGAAGTGCTCTGTGGTGTGTTGTTCTCACATTTCCAAGCCTGACTATAGTGGTTATTCTGAGACACAATGAACCAGTCCCTGTCTAGTCTCCCTCTAATAGTGGGGGCCCAGGTAGCTATTGGAGGAGGATGTTTAACAGAGCTTAGTTACTTAGTAATGGTAAAATTAGTCTGCTGCATTAGTCGAATCCATTGTTTGACTTTGGTGTCAAGACAAAAAAAAAAAAATGCCTCCTTATTTTGGACACTGTAATAATATGGGTGGAAATTTTCACTTTTTTTCTTATAAAAATGGCATTGTAAAAGGAATACTGCACTTTAAAGTTTATTGTATCATAGAGCCAAAATATTTTCGAGGAGAAACAATTTAAATCTTACAGCAAAATTGGCAGAAAAATACAGGATCCAAGGTAGAGGAATATGTTACCAGTTAACTTTCTGTGAGAAAAATTAAAATCTAGAAGACATTTTTAAACCTGCTTGGATTTTTAGTCTCATCTATTCTAACTTACTGTTCATTTTAACATTGCTTTCTTTTATTTAAATAGCAGTTGTTTTCTAATGAAAGAATTATGCAAGAGGGTTTCCCTTTACTAAACCTGATATTCTTCCTACTATAAAAAATTACATTTTACCTGAAGTATGCCTTTGACAAACTGTTTATATGTTGGCTTGCCTACCCAATCCTTGTTTTGTCTTAAGATAGACCACTGGTGGAAATAGTTGATATCTTAAATAAAACTCACAAGTTGCCATCAACGACTATATGTGGATTTGAACTATCCAGGCAGTGACCATAACATCAGTAATAACTGCCACCATGTTTAACTCCCCAATTAGAGGTACACTTCCCATAACTCATATATACAAAATAATTACCATGGCAACAAAGCCACTAAAAAAATTGGCTATTTTCCCCCTTTGACCTTTAGTACTGTTCTTTGGAAGAAGCTCTTTAGACATGATTACTTTTGAGCCTAGGCCTTGTTCTTTCTCTGTCTTGGATTAAAAAAAGGAAAAGAAAAAGTACCAAAAAAACTATGAATCTTTTAAATTGCTCTTTTGGTTTTGTTTATATCCAAAGGCATTCTATTTGAATAAAGCATGTCAAGGTAGCATCAGTCAAAATTTGATTCACTATGTTTGCAGGTGATGGCTTGGACAACAGTGTAGCTTCCCCCAGCACAGGTGACGATGATGACCCTGATAAGGACAAAAAGCGTCACAAAAAGCGTGGCATCTTTCCCAAAGTAGCCACAAATATCATGAGGGCGTGGCTGTTCCAGCATCTAACAGTAAGTGGACTCTAAATGACCTATGTAAACTAAATATGGGCGATGAACCAGTTTTGATAGAGGAAAAAGATGATCCCTCTCAACTTGGAATATTTCATAAATCATGGTGTTCCCACAGCTTGTACCAAAGTGTTAGCACTGTTTCCTAGGTATTTATAACCCCGAATGAGGAATTCCATTTGAACTTCACTATTGCAACTTGGTTAACTTTCATAAATTTTAAGGCTTAGGAGCTCATATGCCCTGGTGATGTTAAGTATGAAATATGAATAATGTTGCTTTTCTAAGTGTAATTGTGAAGTACTTAGAGCCAGGTCTCTCTGTGAAGAAAGTGAGACCCACCCCAGAGAGACAGAAATTAGCTATAGTCAATGCCCTAGTCAACCTTTATGGTGGATGGTCCACAAAAATTTAAATCATGTTGCAATGCCTAGACAATCACATAATTTGCTGTTAAAGTGGCTTGAATATACCAGCTTCCATGACAAAACATTCATGAGTCAGAACTCCCCAGTGAAAGTTGTCCCTGCATTCAGAACTGTAAAGGAAAACAGCAATCTACAGTCAGTGCTTCCTGTGTAGTCCCCTGTGTCTTTTCAAGCAGAGTCACAGTTTATATTGTCTGTGTGAGTATTGCTGTTTTCACTGCAGGAATTCTCCTGGAGATGTGAGAAAGTGGAGATGTGGGGTTTTAGGCCACCAGGGGATTTGTTTGGTTTGGTTATTGTTCTGAATGAATTTCATGTTCAAAATATTTATAATCATAATATTTTGGTGGATATTTTTGTAAGTACATATGGATTAAATGACATCTGAGGAGATGAAGCCAACATTAAAACTTCTGGGTAAAATAATATTTAAAACATCAGCAAAATTGTTGACCAGGGGAAAAGGGATGAATTTAGACGGGTTGTACAACATGGATGAATGGAGGTTAAAAACTCTTTTAACTTCATTTTTTCATATCAGGAACAAATCTTTTATGTTGCTATTTGTAGCATAGATTTTTCTTCCTGAAGTCATTTACCCCTTAAATATCAAGGTTAATTGTACATCATCACAACCAAGTCTGGGGGCTAATGGCTTTTACCCTTTGTGCACTTTTCAAGCTCTGTTCCTCAGTGAGTTGTTCTTGTTCAGAGAAGACAAACTCAGGGGATAGCTGAAGGCCCCTGGTTTCAGATCCTCTGGATAGGGGCTCTGCCTCCAACGACACTTAGAGAATAAATTATCCGTATTTCCTAGTGTTGGGGAATAAGACAAAACCTTAGACTAATAGGAATTGCTCAAAAAATAGTTACTTCCTCCCTTTTCTTCTTACCATGATTCCAAACGCTCCCTAGATGGTACTGGTCATTGTTATTTAAATGTTAGGAGTTGGTTAATGCTGGAAAATAGTTAAAGATTCAGGTTGTTTTAGCTGTTAGGATTTCAACATGATGTCTGGTTTCCCTAAAGCCTGATGCAAGTACCATTCCTTATTGGACACTTGTTGCATGCAGGTAGATGTTCTGAGATCTGCCTTGTGCAGGTTTCTTGTTGAAGAACATCAACCACTTCTGAAGTAGAGGCCTAGTGTGCCTGGTTTACAGGATGTAAAATAAGTGTGACTTCTAGAGAAAAAAGTGACAATTATTCAGAGGTGCTCATGTAAGGATTCTGATAAATCCATCATCAGAGATAACCAGCTGACCTTCTCTGGAGTGAGGAGAAAGAGGCAAGATGGAACTGAACTCACAACCAAACTATTTCTATTGTTTACCCTACTAGGAAAAGTGAATAGATTTTCTTAGTCTACCAAGGACTTTGGCTTGATTTGAAGCTGAGGTGTCCTTGAATAGAATAGAAACAAATAACAGTTTAGACAGAATCAGGAGAGATAGAAGCAAGGTATTTTATTCACCTGCCAGTTTTTCTTGGCCATAGTCTTGTGAAGAACCTTGCAGAGAGCTATAGTATCTTTTTATAAAAAATAGCCTTTCTAATAATCAGTGTGGTTTTGTCCGCATTTCTATGCTTCTGTGGGTAAGGATTACTTGGGCGATTGTAGTAGACATCATTCATGAGCTGCCTGATTTGCCTTTGGTTGTAGGGTCTCTCCTGGCTTATGTTACTATCCTGAAGGGGAAAGTGCTTCCTCCTGTCTCTCTGGCTTTCTATAAGTGTTTATCCAAGTTACCCTTTGGTTTGCATTGAATATTTCCAATGCCTTTATCCATCCTAATACCATATGCTCATTCAGAAATACTGAGCAATGATAATAGTCACTAAAAAGCTAATCACTCTCATAACATCATTGAAGAGCAAAGAGAAGAGACATGAGAATTTCTCCTCAATGAAAAAGATTCCTTCTCTTCTCTAGTGTCAAGAAACAAATATATTTCCATTTACAAGGAACACCCTTCTTGTTATTTTTCTTGAAGGAATGCTTGAACTGCTCAGATGTACTTTTGGACAGGAGCTAATTCCAATAAACTCTATGGAAAAAAAAAGAGCTGTGGGATTGAAAGAGAGTTTTGTTGTTTTTCCAAGTGTAACTACTGACATAGTAGTAGTCATCCTTTAGTAACTTTAGGATCTGAGAGATTCTTCAGGGACACACATTTCATTAGGAAGACTATGTACACATGTTAAATGATCACATTAGTGCTATGTGATTAATGCAATTTATCTAGAAAATCCTTTCGAAATCTTACTTGATATAAAAGAGCAATTGAAACTCTGGCTAATTAAAACAATAGCAATAACAATTTATTAGCAAATTATAAGTGAATCTTTTTAAAATGCCCAACGGCACAAAGTCTCATACACCTTATTGAAAGCAAATTGCTATTTTTTTGCTTTTGAAAAAAATGGATCAATCTTTTCATTCAAAAAACCTTCTCTTAAAAGGCCTTATAAGTATTAGTGTGTCAGAGGAGTAAAATAGGATGTGAATAAAAACTGTTCTGGGTTTCCAACCCAAGCTGCATGAGAAAAAGAAAAAAAAGAAAAAGAAAAGGCGCTACCCTGAAGTTTTCCCTAGGTAGATTTAATCAGTAGCACATTTTACTACTCCAAAGAGAGAACTAAAGGCTTGTTCTTGGACTCAATCTCTAGCAAGCTGAACTGCACAGACCTCCTGTATAATGAAAATAATAAAAGAAAAGGAAACAAAGTTTTAAACTTTGGTGATTATGGAGTAAAAGGGAATTTCAGTGTGGTAGATTTCCCAGTTTAGATTTAGCTGAACATTTGCCAGTCTTGATAAGTAGAAAAGGTTTCTTAAGTGAAACGATTCCCTACAATTGAAAAGAATGACTGACATGATTTAGATAATAAGAGAAAATTAGAAAGGAAATAAAAAGCATTTATTACTAGAAGTGCTTGCATTCATTTGAAGATTAATTATTGCAAACAATTACTAAGTACTTAATATTTGTCTGTGAGTCACAGCCAATTCAAGGACTGATGTCATATCAGAGTGTTTTTTTTTGTAATTCTCCTTCTTGAGGATGTTGGATGTTTTTCCAACAATAAATAGCATCCCATATCATAATGCTTAAACTAGAAGTATTTTGCAGATTACTAGTTCTTCTATTGCCTTGTGTTGTAAAGGTATATACCCAAGGGCCTCCTGAAAATAAGAAAAAAGTAACATATATAATGTTCAAGGTTAAAATCAAGGGTTCTTTTTCTTTTTGTTTGCCTACTCTATCATATTTAAGTTTTTAATATAATCTAAATAGAAAAGTGGTTAATGTGGTTCTTATTTAAAGATGCAGTGACTGTTTTTTTTTCCTGCACAGAATGGGTTGTATGTCCCAGGTACCCTGAAAGTTAGGGAGAATGGAAGTATTTGAAACAAATCCTGTCAGCTTTTGCTGAAAAGAGCAATCCAGGTTCACTATCTGGCATTGACCACTAAAGTAGCAATCTTATAATTTCACTAGGAAAGATGATCCCTTAGGTGAACTGATTTTTCTATTCACATTCTGACCCTCCATCTTTTCACTGATGTTGTATATTTGGGTTAAACTTTACAATGGATACAATGTTGTATGGTTTTCTTTTCTTTTATTTCATTATTGATGTATGTGAACTTCTAGCATGGAAGGTATTTTTGTATGTGGGTGGCCAAATTTATGCCAGCAATTTCTGATTTTTAGGACTTTTGCCTTATAATGGATAATGCCAATATGAAAGGCTAGAGAATCTTCCAGGTTGAGAAAGGCGTTTCCATAGATACACTATTAGATGAAAAGCGCCCTGCGGGTCTGCCACTCTAAGGATGGAGTAAATGGAATTGAATTGGGAATTGAATGTTCTAGAAGAGACAGATGTTGCTTCATTGGTTTTGCTTTTGGTAACAAGATTTGTTGGAGACATCTTAGTGTCATATCTCTGCTTGCAAGCTTACAGCAATTACCCTTTAAATCATAGTTTATTGTTGCATGAAACAGGTATTCCTAATTGGTATTCAGGTAATCCATTTTGTTGATCAAGGTGAGTGAAAGGTCAAAAGACAAAAGAACCTGTAGGTAGCCATATATGTAGACAGTAGATGGTGTTTTCTTCTCATGGATTGCTTCCTTTCTCCAGCTACCTGTTCTGAAAGAAGTGGGACACTCGAGAGGAATTGAGTGGTGAAAGATCAACTATATAGATGGATGAATTCTTGCCTAAAATACCAGCCAGGGTAATACAAAGCTTTTGAGAAAGACAATCCCTTTTTAAAGACTAGACCTCATCCACCTTCCATTTCATGTGTCTGGGCCAAGGGAAGTGGTTTTTAGACAATAAGCAGGAATTCTTTTGTTGTTGTTGTTTTGGCATTGTCATAGCACCTAACCCAGGGCCTTCTTAGGCAAGCCTGAGTAGGCACTTTATCACTGAGCCTGCCAGGTAACTTTGAGTCATTCTTTACTTTGTGTTTCCTGCAAATATACCATTAAATTAAAATACTTGGGAATTTATAGGAAGGAATGAAATTGTTTTCCTTTCAGATGTTCATATACAAC